GCAGCTTGTGCAGGGCGGCAGGACGAACCCCGGGCTGCAAATGTCAGCAGCAGCCTCCGAGCCACCGAGCGAGCGCCATCTCGTTCCGTGGCCTATAGCTCTAACTTAAAGTAAGAACACTTTGGTTTTTTTTTTTGAAAGGGGAGAAAAAAATAAGTGTAATTTAGAGATGAAAATTCCCATGTACGTCATTCCAATAATAGCTGACACTCAAGACCTAGTAAAAAAGAAAAGCATACAAATTATACAGTATGTCCTGGAGAGTTCTGTGACACTTCCATCCCTTCTAATGATTTTACCACACGAGAGGATGATCTGTTCCATAAAATCTGTGTCTTCACTGGTTCTATTAGTAAAGTATGTAAAGCTGTTGCCACCAGAGAACAAACAATAACACTATGAAATAAAATATAATTTGATTTTAAATCCCTAACTTTTAGTTTTGGTAACACCCTGACTTGGGAAAAGAAAGTACCTGAAAGTTAAAAATTGATTTTTTTTTTAAGAGGGTGTTCAGTGTTAAGTGAAGCAGAAACGAAATAACAGAAGCCATTTAGCATTTGATTTTAAATGGCATCATCAACACCCCACCAAAGCACCCCTTTCATTTGGGTCAAACTCAAGCAAGACTCCTATAAAGCAAAGATACCTTTCAAAATACGAAACTTCAAGACAAAGGACAGTTTTCTGCTGTGCTAGATCTTCTCAAGTGTGGCAATTTCTTGGCTGTGCCTTGAATTAAAAGTGGAACATGGGAAGCATTGATAACAAAGGCAAGTGGTCGTTTCTGGTTGTGGATTGTTTTTCTCCTTCATCTGCTAATTCCAGTTCTGCATTTTAGTGAATTTATTCTTTCTGCCATTTTTCACAGTTGTTGCCTTAGAATGAAATATTTTATATCAGAAATGAGTCATATGGCCTGCCATCTGCTTCCTCAACCTTAAAGTACACCAAAGTATAGCCTCCAAATTTGACCTCAGTTTAAACTGAAATAAGAGTTTCATCCATTTAGGCTTGTCCTAATAGGCGACTATTGCATTTTGCAGGCACCTTTGTCCATCTTTGTAGTTATTGAGCAATTAGCACTGGGGAAATGTTCATCTATCAGTCTGGTTCTGATCCTTGTGCTAAACCAGACAGCAGTGGGATGATGTTGGTAATGCCCTTTTGATGTTTTCTCTGTGAGTGGGACAGATTCCATTTGTGTTTCAACCAGTGAAGAGAACATTATGTTCTGCATTTCAGTTATTCAGCCAAGGTTTTACAGGACAGGACATGCTGATTTATACCCTAAGTACCATCATCTCTTCAATGCACAGTTATGTTAAATGGCCTAAAAAAGAAGTTCCTTTTTTTACCCATTCAGTTGCATGGAACAGCAAGGCTGGGTCTTTCCAGTGCTGTCTGCTCTGCTCATTGAAGTTCTGCAAACTCTGTTTTTCACACAGCAGATTACTTAAACATTCCCAAGGCGTATTTGGAGCATAGTCACTCCCTTCAGACTTCATGGAGAGTAAATCTTCAGTTTGAAGTCCCTTGAGTTTAGTCTTTATACCATCACATGAAACAATTGTCAGGAGTTTCTAGTATCGTACGACACACTGCAAATGACACACTTTTATTGGTTTGCTTAGTGATGTTTTCCTTAAATTGCAGTAGCTTGGTGTATTAGTAATTTCGTTGGTATTCATACCTTACATTTCAGTGATAATGGTTCTAATTCTGTGGACTCTATTTGGCTTTAGTACTAACTAGGATAAATTGCCCTGATGATGACTTTCTTAACCAATAACTTACTGATCTTTTGTTATGTGTTTTCATTCCCTGAAAGAGCCTGCAGATACTGAATTTATCCTTTTTATGGGGGATTAGCAATTTCTCTGTTTTTGAAAAGTGGTTAAAACAACCAGATGCTAGAATTTTTCTAGGGTTGCCATTTTGCTTGAAAAAAAAAATTATTTCACAGGAAGCATTCCATGAGCATTTTTATTTGGTTATTATTTATTACATTGGTACATTCCAATTACATTCAGTTTTCTTCCTACCTTCCTACCCATCCAGCTGTAGGTATGGGCTTTTTACTATTTTTGTGCTCTACCTAAAGTGTAGATAATATGTTACCATTTTGTAAAGTATTTGAGTTCCTTAGAGAAAGATCCTGTAATACCGAAATCTGAATTTAGCTACAAATTACTTTGGGCTCTTTTTTTTTTTTTTGTCATTTAACAGTTGTAGTCATGATTCTGCAATAGCAATGGAATTATTATTTTTTCACCTTGTGCAGCTGGCAAATCCTTATAGAGTTGATGTGGAACAGGAAGCATTAAAAACAACTACAAATTATTGAAATCATGTAATTTAATAAAGTACAAATTAAATGACATGAAGAACATATAGTCATCTCTTTGTTCACTGTCATTTTGCACAGAAGTATTACCAACAGTTACACTCCTTCTAACAGATGCTAAATAACCATTAAGCAAAGGAAAGGCAGCAAACTACATTTACAATTCAATAAAACTAGAAGCATGAAAACAGTCAATTTCACTCATCCAATAAAGCTGTTCCCACAACAACAGTGCGAGAGGGGTTGAAATAGGTCACAGGCAGCCCTCCTTACATTGCTTAAGAATGTTAGAAGGATTAATCATTTATGGATTATCTCCTGGAAACAATGATCCGGTGCAGACAGGTAATCCAATCTCCTCTATCTTTCTAACCTGGTTTGCCATTTCACTGGGGATTGTGAAAAGGTGGCAATTTTTCTAGGAAGACACTGTCTTTCTGCCAGCTTGAAACATGTAGATTGCTGGAATTTGCATGAAAAATATGACAGCTCTTCTTTGAGGAAGGTAAGTAATGAAATGCGACAGGTGAAACTAACTTTTTCATCTAGAGCACAGAGGTTTAGTTCAGAAATTTTATCATTTTCACCTTTAGATATAACCTGTCAGTGGATGGAGTGACGGGAGAATTTTATCATTGACACAAACCAGATCTAGAGAGAATACATTATTCCTGGGTGTCTGCATTTTGCATAAACATCTAATAACATGTTCTTTTTGACTATATTTGTCTAAAAATTTAAATATATCTTATTTTTGAATACAAACCTTTTGGTGATCATAGCCCCTCTAAGCACATAAGAAGCAGATATACAGTTTTGCTTTTATTGACTTACAGACTTAATCTAATATGTAGGACTATTAACTGACTTCTTTAGCCAGTTTTATTGTATTTTATCCAGCAGTAGGTACAAGAGCTGATGCTGATTATATTAGAACTATACTAATTTCATTAATGAAAGTGAGCTCTATTGCAAATCTCTGTTGCGGCAACTTAACAAGTGAAAAAAAATAACGCAGATGTGCCTCATCAGGAATTCTCTATTGCTTGTTTCATTTGACACACAGTCTCTGTTTTGTTGTATAATGACATTAGGAAAACCAATATGCAGTTACTATCACAAATGCTCAGAGTAGCCTGCCCTTCTACGTTTTCTTATATTACATATTAAAAAATTGATGATGAGATTAGCAAGGTTCTCCTCTGTATAGAATTGAGAAATATCTGCCAGGAATAATTGTGCATCAGTATTAGCTTTAAGCCTTGAAAAAGCTGTCTCAGGAGAAAAATGTTAGTTTTTAAACTCTGCCAGTTTTGAATTATAGAATCATTTACCTTAAATAGGCCATGTTATCTTAATGACATTATTGTGAACTTATATTTTTGTTTTTTTTTGTAAACATCCATTGTATTCTTTAAGATTCCTGAGCCACTTTGAAATACGTCTATGTATCTGGCTCCTTAATGTAGCTTTCCAAGTTTTACATGTGGCTTTACATGATTCTTAATCTTAATAGTGCTTGTTGTAAAACGGAAAGTCAGAAGTTCCTTTTTAATAATTTTAGCTGGTGCTCTTACAAACTACGCAGGTATCAGAGCTGTCAGCTTCAAAATAGGCTAGATAGCTTTTTATTACCAAACATGCGTTTTTCAGTAGGCTTTCCTTGCTGGGTACAGCCCTCAAAAAGAAGATGGAGCACAGTTTG